GTATATAGTATTAAAATCTTAAGACTAATTGTTAATTAATTGTTTGGTAATTATAGTGAGTTAATGTCGAGAAAAATCCCATTAAGACTAAATTGTTTGACTAATTGATTTTTCAATTTTTTAATATATCGATTTGTGAGTTATTTAATTATTAAAAATTCGGAAACAATAGAAAGATCCCATAATTAAATGTGATATTTAGATTTCTTGTTGATTTTTTGGTTAGTTAATTATGAATCAAAACCAATAAGCTCAATTATTAATAAATTAGTAATTTATAGAGATGCCGATTAGGTTGTTAACTTTTTTTGTAAAATAATTTGTTTTGAATTGTTTATATTTTAATTGGAGGATTAAATTTTAGAGTTGACAAAATAATAAGAATTTAATTAGGCAATTATTCTATTTATGAAATTTAAAATACTTGATTTTATCTTATTAATGTTTGTTTCCAAAATAATTTTTTTTTTTAATTAGTTAGTTCAAATTTAAGCCGTGTCATTTTTTTTGACAAACCATGTCATATTTTTGAACTAATGAAATAAAAAAAAAGCAAATTTAATAAATCTACTTCTCTTGATTGTATATATATATAACAAATTGATGATTTAATAAAATATAATAATAAAATAAATATTAGATATTTGTGGAGGTTTTTATGTGTTTATCACATAATTCATATATATTTATAATGAATAAAAATAAATATTTTTATTTGTTATTAAAAATAGAAAATTTTCAAAAAACGCCACTTTTCAAGTGCCACTTTATAAAAATACCACACTTTTGAAATCTTTACAAAAATGTCATTTTTTCAAAATTTTTTTTTTATATTATTTATGTTTGAGTTAATTATATTCTATTAATGTTTAGTTTTGAGTGTTTAAGGGTTTTTATGTGTCAAAACATTTTTTAGGGTTTAGAATTTTAAGATATAGACTTTATAAATCTATAATTAGTTGTATTTTTGTAAATGACATTTTTAAGTGGCATTTTTGTAAATATGCACTTCGTGTTAATAATTTAAAGCTCGGGGTTTCCTTCCTTAGTCCACGAACAAAGCTCTCAAAAGAAGAAGAAACAATCTCGCCGGAGAAGAAAGTCAGAGAAGATGTCGTGGCAATCGTACGTCGATGACCATCTCATGTGCGATGTCGAAGGCAACCACCTCACATCCGCCGCTATTCTCGGCCAAGACGGCAGTGTCTGGGCTCAGAGCTCCACTTTCCCTCAGGTTTTCTTCTCAAGCGACCTAACCGATATGAGTCGATCGTCGATTTTAGGGTTTTGATCTTGTAATCGGATCTGAGGAAAATTGGATCTGGTTTGATTTCTTAGCTCCGACTTGTTTCTCTGAAATCCGAGATTATCTCACTGATCGATTCAGTTCTGTGTTACCAATTGAACAATTTTTGTTTCTCTGAATGTTTCGTCTGATTCTGAGATTTTCACGGTTGGAGCAGTGAAATCGCGTTTATATGTGTTTTGGATACACAATCTATATCTCTTTTCAATTCACCAGATGACAAAATTTCCTTCTCCCACTAGAAACATTTTAAACCCACCCAATTTGTTGGATGATTTGCTCAGTCATGTAAAGGAATCTGGTTTATTGGTATCATTGCTCAGTCACTTGAAGCTCATTGCCTTTTGTTGTTCTTGATTATGTTTTAGTTGAAGCCTGAAGAGATAGAAGGAATCAAGAAAGACTTTGAGGAAGCTGGACATCTTGCCCCAACTGGGCTATTTCTTGGTGGCGCAAAGTACATGGTTGTCCAAGGTGAGGCAGGAGCGGTCATCCGAGGGAAAAAGGTAAAACTTTCTCAATAGAACCGAACTCGAGATTTGAGAAGATCCTATTGTGACTTCGATTGAGAAAAAGAATCAGAGGATCGGACTTTTTTAGTAAACACAATTTCATATTATGATCAGCAAGTTAAGCTTACATCTCCCTTTTGCAGGGACCTGGTGGAGTCACTATCAAGAAGACCAACCAAGCCCTAGTCTTTGGTCTCTATGATGAACCGATGACGGGAGGCCAATGCAACTTGGTAGTGGAGAGGCTCGGGGATTACCTCATCGAGTCTGGTCTTTAAGTTTACACAAACTGCCTCAAATCAAACCAGTTTCAAGTTCAGGTTTTTCTTCACCACAGAAACACTCGTCTGCCCTGTATTCTGATTTGATTGTTGTTGTGCATCAAACAAAGTTGAATGATACTCTTATAAGAACAAAGAAACAATCGTATTTCTTTTGGTTTTTGAATCCCTTTTGCATCTTATGATGGTTTTGATGTTTTACTCTTGCTTGTACTCTATTTGATAATGTATTCTGGCTTTCGATTTGGATAATGAAACAATTGCAGCTTGTATAAAATTGAGTTTGTGAGTGGTCTTGGTCACTTGTTTTTGATCAACGTGTAAAATTCTACCTGGTACTAGTTCTCCTAGTTTGTGATTCGAATTGAATTGCATTTTGAACCACACAAATACACATCACCAAGCTTGCCTATACGGTTCAGCGGTGGAAGAAGATTACCGGTTCAATAGTTCAGTTAAACTCCGGTTTAGTTCACTACTCAAAACTTCACAGACAAAAGAAGGCAATAGTACATCCATGTACACTGTCACCAAAGACTAGCACAAACTGCAAAGCATGGAAACAAAACAGAGACAGCAACCGAAACCACCATTTGCCTGAATGCTTCATTGCTCGACGATGGCGAAGCCAAGGGCGAATCCATGGCAGTTATGTTTCCCGTGACATCACCCGCCATTGTTTTGTTCATTCTGTGCAAATAACAATGTCAGCTTTTATTTTATTCACAAGATTGATAAGACCGGGGGGGGGGGGG